GAAAGAGGTCCCTGTTTCAGCCCATGCCACCACCCATTCCCAGATGCGTTAATGAGAGTCACCGCATTAACGATGCAGCCCAGACCCCAACAACCCCACATCTTCGGTGCTCAGGGTCCTTCCAAATCCCAGGTGTAAATCACAGCCCAATATTCAAGCCCAGGTGCAGCAGCATGGTGTCTTAACTCCCTGCAGTCCACAAATCGCCGTCCCTGGAAGCGATAGCGCCCGAGGCCTCTCGGGTGTCAGGGCACCTCATTGGGTTTCACGTTTGCACCGGGGACCTCAGAGTTAAGCACGGCCCCGAGCTGCCTCTCCCGGAGCTCACACCAAAAATTACATTACCTCCTGCTGCAGCTTTGCTTGCCAAGGGCTCTGCAAGGGCTGGGCTGGGGCTGCATGCTCACAAGACCACGTTAAACAGTTCCCAATTCCTTTTCTTCCATGTTGCGAAAAGAAATAAAGGGGTATTTACAGAAACAGCATCTGTCCCACTTCCTAATTTTGTCCAAAGTACTTCATGTAAACATTCAGAAGCCTAAATTTACTTTCTACCCATACAGGGACTGCTTAGAAATCTACGGCCACCTTTGCAAATCGGAAGAAAAAGCAGAGCAGGACTGTTAGGAACCACGGACTCGTCCTCGTCAAGGACAGAGGCATCAGCAGGGGACGTCTCCTCTCGCTGCTCACCCTGCCTGATGCCAGCAGCTGCCTGAAGTCGGGAATACCGGGCAAGCATTCACTCCTGGGTATTTCTTGTGCTGCTGGTGGTGGTGTAAAAACTGCTTTTCCACAGAGGAGCAGAGAAAAATCATACTTGCACTGAACAAGGGACACATACGACACATAAGGGATGTCTGTTTTGCCATGTACCTTGTCTTGTTCCAGAGCTGGAGCTGTACGAGCCTGCACGGAAAGTTTTGTTCTTGAAGCCAGTGTTAAGGGGGTTGATTTTTAAAGTTTACATGCAAGGAAAGCTTTATCCTTTTAACGGGGTTTTCTTTTGTATTTCAAGGGTTTCTGCTGTATTGTGACATGCTGCACTGTGGGCCACAGAAATTAGTTCGTGGAGAATAGGTTTCCACTTTATATTAAGTCTCACACTGAAAATAAAGGTCAGAGTTTAAGGATGCTTTTAATTCTTAAAGCTGCGTCTCTAAGAGAAAATAACAAGCTTGTGTGTCAAACCAAGGCACTTGTAAGGTATCCGACTGCTCACGCTGCAGAGTAACAAAACCCCATCGTTCTGTGGCAAGAAAGGCAGACCCAAAATCCAGAGAGCAGCACACGTGAGGTGGAAGGCAGACAGCAGGCACTGACTCAGGGATATGAAATATTCACTCATGTCACGAAGCAAGCAGCAGAAACAAGGGGAGAAGCACCCACGTGTTACAGACTAAGAAGCTGCAGTACCCTTCACCTGAATCACAGCACCCTTTTATCTAAAGCAAGTATCTTCTGTTCAAAACCAATATAAAAATCAGGGCTACACAGCATTAACGTAGAAAAAATTTATTCCATCTGAAGCACTTACACGCAATTAGTCATGAGGAGCACAGAGTAACGGGTTGCTGGTGGAACAGGACACCCTGGTGGAAGATTTGCAGGAACGAGTGGTCAAGGACTAACTCCTAGAAAAAGCAGTTCATCCACATTTAGTTTGCTTTACAGAGACCAGCTACCAGTGCTGTTGTAGGTGACTGGGCATGCCGCCTGTGGTACATCAGTTGGTAAAAACATACACCTTTACAACTTGGTGGCCCCAAGTTTTAAAAACCATTTCACAGAAAGGAAAGAAATATATGTGAAAACACAGCTCAAGAAACACACAATAGAGCAAAATACGCGGGAGGTGAACGATGCTCTGCAGGAAAAGCTAACGAATGCAAACCGCTGACCCCCGGCAGGCGGGGGAGAAGAGAAAGGCAGGAACGAAAAACCCAGAATTACCAGGAGACAAAATATAGCGAAAGAAATTTAATTTCAATTCAAAGTCTGCTTTGCATCTGCAGAGGCAGAAAATCCATTAACTAAAGGAAACTCGACGCTTCTGAGTCGTACTGAAGAGGACAAGGCCTTCCCCAGCCCATTTCTGAACTGCCAGAGAATTAACACCTGTAACATCTGCATGGCTCAAGCATACTCTGGCAGCTCTACCAATTAACTTTAATCGCTTAAATTAGGCAAAATTCTGCAGCTGTAGCAAGCTAAAGACAGAAGAAGAAAAGCCAACAAAACCAAGTCTGCTCCGTGGGATGGAGGCAGCTAAAGTGGGACAGCCAGCCCAGCACACAAGAGGTTGCTGTAGGAAACTGGAGCAAGGAGCTACAGCACGGTACCAGCTGAGTTGGGCTGAGCCCTTTTTTTTGGGAGTACTCACTGTCTGGGTTAAAAAGGCTGCTGATGGTATCTACAGAAGGATGGCTGAACACAAAGTCTACGTGTGTCTCAAAACCAGTGTTAAGTCAATATCGGGGTTGAGAGGGAAGAGAAGGGAAAAGACTAAGAACAGGGAAAGGTGGTCATCTAGGATCCTTGGCCTTCTGGATCCACACTCCCTTCAGGGTCTTCGTCATTATAGATGTTCTCCGCCTGCAAGACAGAGATGGGAGGAACTGAAGCAGCATTCACCACCACAAGGAACAGGATTCCACCCACCAAAATGTCGTGGGAGTTTTCAGTCTGCAGATACCCATCACCCACCCCTGATCCCTCAAGGCCATTTCACATTAAAGAAGCAACGCAAACAACATTTTTCATAACAGCCATGGCTCCAAAAACATTTCTTGAGTACCCTGTGGGTTACTGCAGCTTATGGGAATCTGCCATTTGTGTATACATTTAGTAAATCCTCTACTTAGCAGCAGCACCTTCCAAAAATGTATATGGAAAGCTGCTAAGAGCAAAGCCTGTGTGATCTGATTTACAAACAAAAGTTACAAGAATGGTCTTGTCAATGGTTATTCAAACAATACAAGTTTGTTGTCCAAAACCTTCACCAGCTGGCGTTTTAGGGCCAGCAAATTCTTCCTATTCACCACCCTCCCCTCCATCCTCAGGAGGACAATTATATCATTTGCAGAGATTTCGTTCTTTAAAGACAATAACAGAAACCTCAAGTTCATCTTTGGTTCTCACACACAGTTTTCATTCAAACGCAGAAGGGAAACATTTCTTTCTGCACCAGTACTTTCTTTTCTTTTTAAATCGTAACACAAACCAGCTTCTGAGTGCTTGTAAACCAGTGTTTTGACCAAATCTAAAGTGGATTTCACCATCCTTTCGAGATTTAAGCAATGCTATAAAGTGAGTAATTCTGAGAGCTGTAAATAAAACCAGGAAAGCTGAAATCCAGGCAGTTCAACACCATCTGCCACTTCTTGCACCTTCTCAAACAACTCACCATTTGCCAGACTTGCATGATATTATCTTCTGATACAGAACAAATTACCCAGGGCTCGTTGGGATTCCAGGAGAAATCAGAGATCTTTGCAGTATGACCACCATGAATGAACTAATAGCAGGGAAACAAAGAAGGGAATGTTGGCAAATCCACATCGCAGAGATGGGTAACAGGTCAAAACAATCCATGAAATCCAGAAGCCTTACCAGCAGCTCCGGGGGACCATCCTCAGCATCTTCAGGGGACTGCTCTTCTCCAATTTTACTGTAAAAAAAAGGAGGAAAAATGAAAAGGTTGGTTTGTTTTTTGAAGTGGGATGCAGTTCACCAATATTTTGTCAGGACAAGGCGACTAATTTGAGATTTACCTCAAGTCCCAGACGTTTAGCCTGCGGTCAGTGCCACTGGAGGCCAAAATAGTTTCATTATGGGGAGACCACTGAACCTACAGGCAAGGAGGAATTCAGAAAGGAAGTCAGTTTTAAGAAGCTGTAAACAATAGACACGTTCACCACAAACACCACTGCATTTCGTATCATAATCTCGATGAGAATTCACACTGATAATAACCTGAAATATGAATATGCCCACTAACAGCATTCTAACACGGGAGGCAGTTTTGTGAACATTCACACAGCAACAAGGTATTTGAGCACCACAAGTGTACCACGTGTAGCCTTTCCTCTAACAAAGACCACGTTGTTATGAAGTGCAAACAGCCCTTGAGGATATCAGCTGTTCCTTACCTTAACAAGGACTGCACAAATATCCACTATGGATCCCTTAAGTAGCAGGCACAGTTTACACATGAAAAGAAATCCCTGTAATTAAGCTTAGCAGCCCAAAAGCTCCCATTTTCTCTGCTAGGGAGAAATCTCTCCAACCAGAACATACCACTTAATAGGATCACAGGATTAGAAAAGCACACATAATTCTGCACACTAACCTGACATTAAGATTTCACGTGTAATTTTATTTAGAGATAACTACAGTCTTAATTAGTAATCCTTCTACGAGAAAATCTCTACATATTTTTCTCCTGAGTAAGGCATGAGTTGGAGATGGAAATATCGTATCTGCGAAGCACACGCCACCCGTGATGTTAACATTCTATATTTACACCAGCAAAATTAGCAATTGTGCTAATTGTCACAGGATTTTTCTGTGATCCCCTTTAATGGGTATCAGCAAAAGCCTCCCTGCACGACCAAGCTGAGATGAAAACACCGCAGCCATTTCACTGTGCCTCCCTGCTTCAATCTGCTGCCATGAATAATTTACATTTCCTCTGCACTGCTAGCATTTCACCCTTATGTTGTGGTTAAAGCTCTCGACCGATTTCTGCCCCTGGCTTTCTGGACACTCTTATCTGTACTGGAGCTCGACCCCACACAGAGAGCTATACAGCTCCACAACAATAAGCCAGGAAATTATAAGCAGATGAGAGAAAGAATATGCGAGTTTTAAAGTGCAAGTACCTCTAATAAAGATGTAGAACGGAAAAGAATGTTTTTCATTTTTACCAGACCAAGTAGAACTAAGTTTATGTGCATAAAAGATAAAGACATTTTGTTATACCTGAAATATTTCATCTTTATGTGATTCAAAGGAGTGCAACTTCAGTTTTAGGTTCCTCAAGTCCCATAAAGCAACAGTCTAGTTAAAAAAAAAAACCAAAACAGAACATTTTTTGTTGAAGTAACCAATACAAACACCCACATTTACACATCAGAAGCTAAACAAGCACGTTCCAAGTTCAAGGTAGAGGTACCTTATCAGCTGATCCTGTAGCCAGGATAAATTCACTGTAGGGGTTGAAGGAGAGGCAGTTGACTTCAGCTGTGTGAGCATCCACCGAGTGACTGGGCTTGGAGGTGTTGTTTGACCGCGTGTCCCAGCTGTAAGGGGAAAACATGGAATTGAAACAAAGGTTCATATCTCATTTTACTGAGGGACTAAGGAGCAGATGGGAAAGCAAAGAGGGACAGAAGCACTCAGTGTCTGAAGATGTCACCCCACTTACATCATGAGCTTCTGATCATCAGCAACGGATCCAAAAAGGGATTCATGGAGCAGGTGCCAAGATACATCCTCCACTACCGCTGTATGCCCTGTGAAGATGGTCTTTGCATCCACCACTTTGCCTTCTTTTGGAACAGCACTAATATCCCACAAGCAAATGGTCTTTAAAAAAAATAAAGAAAACTTTAAAAGTATACCTT